TGGTTTTCACGCGAGAAGCGACCTTGCGGTTTTCAATCTACCTAATATTTCAATTTTGTGATAAAACCGTCGCCTTCGACAATTACCTTCCGACCGTCGAAAGTAACACTTTTGCACATTTTTTCCGTCGCAAATTATCCAATTAAAGCAATGAAATGTGGCCGGCTGTCGAGACGTCTCGTAAAGTTATTTACGGACTTCCCCCCCCTAATCATCGATTTGCGATATACTATTACCGAAAAAAACATTAAGTAAATAGATATTATTAGAGTTCTCCAAACAGTATACAATCCTTTTCAGCACGTGTACCACAAGGCAGGCCCGTATTTAAGACGTTAGCCGACAAGAACTTTTAAATTTGCCCATTAGAGAGGTTGATGTATTAAACATATTAGAATGTTTAAAGTGATTCCCAATTTAAAATATTTTCCTAGCTAGATAATTGATTTATAATGGATGTTTTCCCAGTTTGCTATTGGTTGATTTGTGGGAATGGGTTAAATCGTGAAAACACTGTGACATAGTTGTGAATGGCGTCCGAGAAAGAAAAACCATCAATACGAGACAAGTGTTTGTATACACGAAGTACCGAAGTACGGCTCTGGAACGTCAAGATGGTATATGGTTTGGAGAACTCTACTACGTTGTGATATAGAGAGTTTTTCTAATTGAATGTGAACAATTAAGGGAGCGATTGTTGGGTCTTTTTTTAAAAAGAACACTTCATATGAACATATGTCCTAAACGTCTTAACTTTCAAAAATAAAAAATAAATATTTTTTAATGAAATTTGGCACACGTTTACTATGTATAAAGAGGCATTATTTAGTGTATCACAATTTTTTAAAAATACACCATTGGGGGGCGTACAGAATTTCACCTGTCTATTTTGGTATTGATGGTACGCTACTGATTTCTCTTAAAATAAAAATTATTCTTACAATTTATTTTTTATAATTCATTTACTAATGAAATTTAATTTCCTGTTGTCTGCATGCAGGGAGTTATTTATTATCATTATTATTTCTTAGTTAGGTAATTGTCTATTTTGTTTATTAAAATAGTTTAATAAATTGAAGTACGATTACGAAGTAATTTTTGGTAAATAAAAACTAGATATTTTCTTTTAAATAGATATTTTATTTTTCACAAAAAACGTCCTCGATTTAACCAGTGCAGTGGCGACCTAATTAACCAAAATATTATTTGTTCATAGACGGTGAGTAACACGCCTCTGATTTCCTTAAAAAAACTTAATTTTTTTATTCCATCGCATGGTTTTCACTTAAAATTAAAAAATAATTTCTTTGTTTGCTGTCATATTAACAATATTGTTATGGCCATGCAGAGAAGTATTGAAGAATGAAGGTATTTAAAAAAAATGAAAATTTAATTTAATGTTTTGTTTTTGAGTTTTTACATTTCGCTCATTGGTTCTGTCGAACAGTATCAAAATGCCGAGCGATTATAAATTTTAGAGGGATGAGATTACAGATATTTGTGAAAGGGCCATAAGGTAACGGGGGAGGGTTAGGAAGGTCTTTAAGCTATCTGTAGATAGACCGCATTGGCTTCTAGCTTCGATAAACATTTTAGTTGTCGGTATCCGGGCCTGCAGTGAACCAGAATAAGAACAAGTTGTCGCGTTTACTCTGTATAACTTCGAAAGTCAAGATAATATACTTCGAAACATACTATACACTTCTATACGTCGGCTTTGTTTATGTATACGCTAGCGAGTACTGTAAACAGTACCACAAACCCAAACAAAGGCACTGGAGATATCCCCTCCGTGACTCGTATGATAATGATAACAATAACTCGGCATCGCGCACATTTTAATCGAGTTTGACATTCAGTGAGCTGCAATCTCTATTAGGCACAAGAATTAAAATAACAAAATACGTAAATCGGTAGTGATAGTTTTCCGTAATTATCCTCTCGGCAATATCCGAATAGTACTGATATTCAAAAGGTTCGTATACTAGTATATGTACTATATTATGCGTTAGTTTTTGGGTAGATTTTTGCAAAACAGCGTGAATACGTGCTGAAAGTAGGTATTGCGTCGTATCTCTATAAACCAATCCCATATGCCGATAAATTTTAGTTATAATGAGGTGTACAGGATGTTTAATAATTGAATGTCAATAATTACATCTCTTACATCAAAACATCATTTGTTCATACACGGTCAGTAGCAAGCCATTGATTTCATTAAAAAAACGACACTTGCATCCATTTGAGCTTAGTTTTTTTTAGTCCGTCGCAAAGTTTTCACAGCAAGCGGTCAAAATAAGTCATGCATTATGTAGTACACAAAACAATTTTTTTGGAATCAATCCGAATAACAAATGGAAAGGATAAGACCGTCACCTTTTGAGATAGTGGAAGTGAACCAAAGCATGGATAAAAAATGAGACTTTGACTTTAAATTACAGATATATCAAAACATGTCCCTTTCCTATAGAGAAAATTAAACAAATAGAATATGCTCGGGAGCATTCAAGGCTTATCAAAACCCCATTACTGCAGTAATGCAGTTAACCTCCACCACCCGCATAAAGTAAAAATGAAAAGTAATTATTGTTATGCTTATCCTACTTTTCCTAGATTTATTACCGATACCTGCCGCAAAATACAAAAATCTAACTAGGCAAACATGATGGTCTATTACCAGTAGAATTTATTAGTATATAATTGGGGTAAGAAAGCATTTTTTTCCTTCTTCTGAATTATAATATTACTAGTGATTCATTTTTAGCCTTTCTGCAATGTTTGTGCAACCAATGGCCCGCAATGGTGACTTTCGGACTTTACCTGTTTTTTTTTTTCGTTTCTTTTCTGTATTTGAGAATATTTTTGTTTTGTCTTTAAAGATTTTACAAAAATGAGTTTGCGTACGTGGTAGAATGTACTTTAATTTCAGTAAATAAACATATATACTGTTTCACTCACGTCTTAATTTAAAGCTATTGAGCCATAAATCTTAAATACACTTGAAATGTTGATGATGAAATGAGGAAAAATTTCGAAACGAAGCCATTCCACTGTTTTTTTTTTAGCAAAAAAAACTGCAGTATTCCGATTCGAATTCCGAGACTATCAGTTGCCGAAGAATAAAAGCATTCCGATTGCCCACCACCGTCATATTTTGGTATCACACTTCTAATACAATACTAACCACGCTATCTAAAGAATGGGTGGAGACCACTGTATCGGAAAACTATTTCCAAAACAGTTTTCTAAAAAGTATATACAGATTTCGAAAAGGCATTTGGTAAAGTTCAACGCCAAAAACTTATAGAAATATTACAGAATATGAATATGATAGTCAGGACATCAGAATCATAGCGAATCTTTACTGGAACCAAACAGCAAGAGTCAGAATTGAAGATCAGCTTACAGATGAAGTGGAGAATCTGTGAGGCGTGTGTCAGGGCTGTATTCTTTCTTCGCTAGTCTTGAACGTATATAGTGAGGCAATTTTCAATGAAGCTTGGATGAACCACCGGAGGGTGTTGCCATAAACGGACAGATTTTAAACAACTTACGTTATGCGGACGACACTATTACAGTTACAGGCAAGCTTGAAGATCTGCAAACCCTGCTGCAAAGGCTAAATGTGAACGATATAGTACACGGAATTCTTACTATAGACATCAACGGTAGGAAGAGTAAGAAGATACCAATACTTAGGAACATGGCTACAAGAAACAATGGAACAGTCTCATGAAATCAAAATTTGCGTAGAAGTGCATTTGTAAAAACAAAAAGAAGAATTAAATCTAACGTTTGGTTTTTTTTTTGGTTTTCAACGCTGGCGATATTTAAGTTGGTTTTGCGCCAAATCATCTACCAGAGCGCCTCTATCGTGTGGCGGATGAACTTAATATGTAAAGAGCTGTCATTGGTGTACGAGATTCTTGGCCACTGTGAAAACAAAAACCAATATGACGGTCATTGTAGACAAAAATTAGAGGTTGAACGTGACAGTACACGTATTCACCATTAGAGCGGCGATATCGGGAAAACACGCCAAATTAATGTGCACTTTTTTTCCCGCTGTTTAAATTGGGTTTTCTCGTATCAAAACCACGCACAAATTAAATGGGCGATAACAGTAATGATCGGCGGATCGTCGACTATACGGGGTGTCCCATAAATTATGTAAGAAGCTCGCGTTTGCGGAAAAAGCAGAATATCCTAGGCGACAGACTTTCCCATTTATCGTAACAGATATACAGTCTCGGACAAAATTAAATATTTGTTCAGTACGTTCGGGAAAATTTCAAAAAGTACATACATCGAAAATTTTCGTTTTTTTGCGAAAAAAAAAAAAAACAGAAAGTTACTTTAATATAAAGACATAATTTAATTAAACTTCTGAGAGTCCGACCCTGATGTTCTGTCCTTCGGTAGCCACCGTACATTCGTATCTATTGTTTGTTTAATATATTATCGAGGGTCTGTAGTCTGAGTAATTTTTGTAATAATGCAATCAATACTTTTATTTTAGAGGGATATATCCAGCAGCCCATAAAATTGTTGTATGGCTGCATCATATTTGGAATTATTTACGCGTAGGTTTCTGAAAAAATATGTTCTTTATATAATCAGTTGCCTGTTGGTTCTTTGATATGATAAGTCGACGTTTTTGTAGTTTTGAGGTTTTTTCAAGCTGTCTGTTTTCATATTATGCTCTCATTGAATGAATTGTATTTTTTTATGTAATATAGACAACTTTTATTGCCGTCGGCAGATAACATCCTTAATTTCAGACCAAAGTCAGCACGCTGAAAATTTTTACAGACCATAATTGCCTTTTTTTTTTGTTAAACGTTAAAAATTATGAATCTATTGTCTTTACTAAAAAACAGTATGCTGACGAAACTGTCTTCTTTAGTAATTTACTCTATAAGCTTGGCTTTTCGCCTCGCCGCCATGAGCTTTAGAGGACGCCCTGTATATAGCGCGGGTTCGTGGACAAAAACCGCGCATTTAGAAGGCGACAAGGACAGTCTTATAACATTTTGTAACCCTGTACTGACTTTCCGAGCCACTACTTTAAAAGCGTTGCAATCGATTTTAATCGTTGCAAAACTAATTGACGCTATCGAAATATATAGAATTTTGCGCAATTTCGCGTGTCAGTACCGTTTTCGGTCGATTACGGAAAACAAGTGGCGTTTTTTGTGCTGGGGGTAAGATTTTTTTGAAATTTTGTATATCCAGAAAAACATAAAAAAAACAGTAATAATTATGTTATAGAGTTATAAAGTATATTATATCGGACGACACAAGAAAGTAAAATGAAAGCAATTTGAAAGTTGGAACGGTTTATATTGGGTGAATTTCCAATTTTTTGACAATATGTAGTCCGGTTTGAGCGGAAACGACAGTAACTTTCAAATTTTAAATGGCACAACCCATATTTTTTGCATTTTTGATTCGGGAGATCGTTCTACGTAGGGTAGGACGTTTTTTCTCTTTTTTTTGTTTTTTTTTTTTAATATTCATTTAATTTTTAAAAATTGTGTCTAGGAGGCTGCGACCACCATAAATACTATTTACCGGGTCACTTGATCATGGGAAAAATTCTAAATGAAACTTTTCTTTACTTGTTTCATGGCAAATACCATTTAATTTAATGAATTATTAAATTTTTTCAAATTGCACTCCCGTGGGAACAAAAACTCTTTAAAATCGGTACTTTTTTTGCAACATTTTGACACCAAAATTTAAAATTAGCTCTCATGAAGGAAACCAGATAAAAATATTACTTAGGTGGCTTTGCTTCTATGCATCATCAAGTCGGCGTGATTGAAAATTCTGACAGTTTGTACATTTTGAATTTTTTTTTAATACTAATCTGCTTTTTTCTTTCCACTGCATGAGCTTGTCGAGAGTTTCTTCTGCATTTTTAATCTTCCTTACTTAAGCAATATTTTGTTTTTATAAAAATGTATTTACTTATCTTGTTTTTTCCTTGTTTTGGTGTCAAAATGTTGCAAAAAAAGTACCGCTTTGAAAAAGTTTTTGTTCCCACTAGGGTGCTGTTTGAAAAAACTATATTATACAAAAAAATTAACAGTTCATTATTTGCCATTAGACAAGTAAAGAAAAGTTTCATTTACAATTTTTCTCATGATCAGGTGACCCGGTAAATAGTATTGATGGTCACAGCCTCCTAGACACAAATTTCAAAAATTCAATAAAAATTTAAAAAAAAAGAGAAAAACCAATCCTACGTAGAATGATCTCCTGAATCCAAAATTGCAAAAAAATATAGGTTGAGCCATTTAAAATGGAAAAAATTGGAAGGTTTTACACCAAAGCAAATTAAAGAAGAGATAGATTCGACACCAGGAGACTCCTCCCCATCATATTCAATTATTAAGCAGTAATTTTCTGAATTTAAAGTGGGTCGTGTGAGCACCTCTGACCAGCCTCGCTCTGGAGGTCACAATTTTAAAAATGCGTGAGATAGCTGAGGTCTGTAGGATGTCAGAACATGTGCGAAATATTTTGCACAACATGGAAAGGCTCTGGGCAACGCCAAAACTGATTCGAAAAATCTTCCGGCTATTTGGCGCTTTGTAAGGGTAATCCTAAGGAATTTTGGGTCCATCACTACATTCCTGAAAATAAAGAACAGTCAAAACAGTGGATTATCAAAGGGGAACCAACTCCACACAAGGCTGAAACAGTTTTATCGACAAAAAAGGTTGTGGCTGATTTATATACATTGATTCCCTTGTAAAGGGTAAGATTACCACTGGTTTGAAGCACGAGGTGCAAATTAAACGACCTCATTTGGCGCAGAAGAAAAAACTGCACAGCACGCACATTCGTCGATTGTTGTCATGTCCAAAAATTGAAGTTTGAATTGATACCTACTTTCCAGACTTGGCCCTCGGCAACTATCGTATGTTTCCTAACCTAAAAAAGTGGCTTGGCTGTAAACCAATATTTTGAGGAGCTTGACGAATCTACCTTTGGAACTGGTATAACCAAATGAGGAATGTGTCAGAATAGATCAACAGTAAAGCAAAAAAAAATTAAAAACATTGTTTTTCTTGGTCAGGCTGGACACTTTTCACCCCACCCTATATATGTTTATGTGAGTAAAAACTTGATTCAGGGGCTCGATTCACCATTTATTACATCAAAATAAACAGTGTAAAGGTGCGAAGAAAATATAGGGATATACTGGAAAATAAGGGGAAACGTGTAGAGAAATACGAAAACATACCAAGGTTGGAAATACCAAGAAATACCGAAAAATGGGGGGAAATTTTGTGCGGCGGTTTTGCAAGGGTCAAAAAATGCGGCAATTCGTATTAAAAAGACGTAAAAGACGAAGAAAAAAAAAGAAAAGTAAAGTGAAATAAAAAAACTACATATAACTTAATCTTCGAGATGGTACCCAGCGGTTAATCACGATTTCTTCTTTGCATTACGTTCTAAATTCAAGGTTCTATCCGAGAATACATACAATTGAGTATAATTAATAATTCCCGAGATTTTACGTAAACGCGAAGGAAATGATTTGAACGGCGTAGATTTCAAAGGAAACCAAAACCGTAAAATCAATCAAATACAAGGTAATGGAGTTGAATCGTATCTCACACCTTGGCAACTTTATGGTATGGTCTGTTCATAGATATAAGAAAGTGACCAATTGCTTTTGAATGGGATTATCCAAGGGTGGTCATTAACATACAATGCAACAAGATTATTACCTAAAGTTTCGGAATTTAAATTCAGGTAAAATTGTGGTCCGTGATAGAAAATAATTTTATACCTACCTGTGTTTAATATTCTTTGGTTTGGTATATTATTTAGTTTAAGTTTATTAGTAATCATTCTGATTTCGTGTGTGATACAGAGTGTGTTGAATCGTGGGTGAATTATGCAAAATATGTGCGAGTCTAGTGTACCTCTGGAGATGCTCCTTCCCAAATGTAAATTTTGATATACATTAGTTATGTTCGGTTGCAAATCAGAATGATAAATTTTGCTAGGTACAAAAATATAATAATAAATATAAATAACCACAAATATCATGATGACGTGCGATTATACAATTTTCTGTGGTCTGTAATTTTGGTGAATGTCGGTTTTAGTTTTTCGTGATCCCGCGCTGGCTGTTTCAAACTGTAGACTATATACATTTCCGAACATTCTTATCTTGTTTAGCAACACACAGCGCCCATTTGTTACGTAGAAATCCCTACACTTATTATTAAGATTTTTAATAGCAGCAGTGAGACTTTGATTAATAGATTAGATATCAATGTATTAACTGCTAACTTTTTCGGCACTATCTGCTTCATACAGTACATATTATTCTTCTGCAATGACATTTCTCGATATTTTTGCATATGCCAGTGTCCATTGCCTGGGAACTTTCTGACTATTCAGACCTCTACTAAACGAGAGTTATCGGTCGACTGTTTAATGAATCATGGGGTTTTCCGAAAATAACAAATTCCAGTTAATAATTAAAGCCGGTTGAATCTGGTTTCCAGTTTTTTACGTTGATATCGACGCGTTTCAGATACGCGATGGCCGACGAGGAAAATGGACGCCTAATGGAGAACAACTTAAAACCGCAGTTCGACCTCGAAGAACCAGACGATGAGCTGCTACGTTGGGCCGAAAGGAACATCGGGGAAAATCCGGATACCAAGCCGGAACTGATCGAGCAGCTTCGGGACATGATTTTCCGTGAGTTTTTTGACAGGTTTCGTGATACGGAGTCGCTCGAGGCACCTAAATCGCCTTTAATACGCCAGGCTAATACATCCGTATATAAACCGTAGACCTCGATGCCTTAAAAAGTTAGTTTTTCCAAAAAAACCTTTAAATTCAACTGGATTACTAACGAACAAATAAATATATCAGGGGAACATTTTAAATACGATGCATTATTTTTTTACTTAAAAAAATGTAAAACTTTCTTATTGCAATACTATTTTTGAATGAACGACATTTTTCACTTTTTTTTCACATATTTTTTTGACTACCCTGTGTTAAATGATTTTAAAAATGTTAATATAGACCTCTAAAGTAGTCATTCTATGAGCAAATGAACACTTTTGCCAAATATTATGCCTAAGTTATATATCTCGTTTGTTGAACACAAAAGTTATAGATGAGACTAAGAGAGACAAAATTATTTACAAACATACGCACATCATAAATATGTGAGAAAGCAAACTTAAAATTTTTTAAATGCATATTATTGCATTAGTAGCAGCACTCAATGTAGGGTTGTTGTGGTCTATACCAGGTATTTTCGGATTTATGGCCATTTTTTCGTCAAAAATTTCATAATGTAGTGCAGTCATCTTATCTTGAAGTTAATTCGAATCGTTTATACGGGGTGGGTCAAAGTGAAGAATATCAATATCAATTATGCTTCCATTTAATTTTATTAAGCCTCATACTTAAACAAAAATATAATTATGAACCGCGAATGGAATGAAAAAACAATTTAAACAGGATAATGATATTAAAATTGCTAATAGTTCCAGAAAAATAAAACACGTAAAAACTGAGAACAAAACTGCAAAACAAGAAAGGACTGTTTAATTTATGTTCTCTTTATGCCACAATATACAGGGTGTTCCTTTTAAAAATATATAAATTTGAATTCCCAGATATTTACGGATCGCCCTATATGCTTGAAAAGAACTTTAAATTGTTTCCTTTAGTTGTATCTATAACTTTTGTATTTAACATTTTTCTCTGAAACAAATAATAAAGCAGATATATTAGTTTGACATTTAAATTTTCTCAGAAAAGATAAGATTTAGATATAGCAATTAAAAAATACTTATACTGCAATATTTTAAGAGTATAAGTGAATCTAAACAAACTCCAAGCTGTTCTAATATTCAGTATAGGTTCTGAGCTAAGGCGACATTCCATTAAAAAAATGACAGCAGGGAGCCATTTTAGGTTTTTTATGGTAAGGGGGGTCATGTGATACCTCTTTTTAAAGGTCTTTTCGCAATCTATTCGCACACCAATTTTAAAGACACCAAAACTTACCAAGTCTTTCGTTAAATCGACGCAGAACGAGGTGAATGCGTGCCCCACAGGACGGACGACGCGTTCCTGCTGAAATTCCTGCGGGCGCGACACTTCCACGTCCGACACGCTCACAGACTGGTAACCGTTGTACTCTGTTTTTTAACATTTATCATTTTTATTTTTATAAAAAACTATAAGCTTCAATTAAAATGACATTTTATTACTCTTTCGCATTAAGAAAGGAAACATAATCACAACAAGCGGGCGCACCCCAGAATTTTCATATCCCTTTTCCAGATCGTAAACTATTACAAACTTAAGGAATCGACCCCCGAGTTTTTCGACATCGACTACGAAAAGCTAGTCGAGTTGGGTCGCACTGACGTATTCAACACCCCACCCAACACCGACCAAGACGGAAGACGTCTGATGGTAATCCGGATAGGTAACATCGACACCGGGCCACGCGGCGCCACTACCATTTTACGTGTTTCCAGGCAACTGGGATACTTCCAAATACACCCCGGTCGACTTGTTCCAAGCTGTGATATTAATTTTAGAAATAGCCCTCACGGAACCCAAAGTACAACTGTTGGGGGGAGTATGCATATTCGATCTCAGCGGGCTTAGCATAGGACAGGCATGGTACATGAGTCCGACAGTGGCCAGGCAGATGACCCAAGTGGGATTTGTAAGTATTACGCAACTAACACGAAACACGAAGACATTTTACTGGAGAGTATTACACAACAGATACTTTTTTGAAAAGCAACTGCTCTAGACAAACGTGTGGCTTTCTTCTTTACTCCTAATGGCCACGACTGCATAAGGTCATTCGGCAAGCTTACACAATTTTTCACATTATTCAGATATCCTACAGAATGCCTTCTTAAGAGAAGGGTCTGGACCAATCCATCATCCTCCAGGTTTTTGTTTTTTACGTATACAAAAACGGAAACTTCTAAATAAATTGTCATAAAATGACGACCGATTCTTCAAACGGCTCCAGCAATCATCTTATACGGGATATCCGATCCCATCCGGCCTGGTTACCAGCGTGAATATAGGACATTCGGAAACCGTATTTACATACACCTCATGGAATTACACATCACAAATCCGTGTACATCCACGTAAGACGAACACTATTTCTCATACTTATAGGCACTACGTCTCTATCACGTCAGATAACGACTATACGTAACAATATTTTCTTTAAACGACACTAATTTCGACCGATTTCTATAAATATTTTGGAACCGGGCAGGAGCAACGTCCGCCATGTGCAATGGTTCCATCGAAAGTCTCAAAACGTGTGGCTATGTTGATATTATTCTTCTTAAAGTGACATTGGCTACTTGCCCATTTAATCTCATTTTTGGCCAAAATATTGTGTTTTCGTGATGAAAACGTACCATTTAAGTACTGAAGCTCTTAATAAGATGCGAAGTTTTACTCTTTAATTACGCTAAACACAAAACGCCTTGGTTACTTTTTTGTTAGAACCTCACACCGAAACAAACCAAAGTTTGCGTCGAAAACAAGCACAATGGCAGCATAAATCAATAACCATGTTATTAACTTTAATAATTAATAAATTTGAAGAAAAATTATTACCGCTGAGCATAATGCAAAGGTACGAATAGTCCGTACCGTGGAATGCGCAACTATTTCTATTGGTTTCGACTGGAAAAAACGAAAATGACAGACGACTGCCGGTCACGGACCGTAGGGATTGGTTAATTTTCCCCGCGATGGCGCCCCAGTAGCACAAAGGAAGTATGACAAGGAATGACTTTGTCTTAATTTATATACAAATAAAGAGAGCAGCAACTTTCACGCCTTTACATTGCGGATATAGATAAAAAGGTTGAAAAACTTATTTTTTTTTTAAATAAAATCTTATATAAGAGTAACAGTATATATTGGTGATGGAGATATCAACTGAATACCTAAAAAAACAACACAATTAAAATGCAATTAAATGTCTTTACTGACACGTCGCCTGCTTCTTTAATACAACATTGAAATATTCTTTTATATCAACATTTATTTAATAAAACATGCAAAGCTTTATCCAACTATCAAATAAGAAATTTTCATATCACGAGAACCTTTCTACCTAATTTATCTGCATTTTAAGACTTAACTAAAACATTTGCACATTTGTGCTGCAAACAACAAAAGAGTTGATACGAAATACATTTGAATGTTTTACTCGATTTTGAACTTTTGCTTCTTCGCTAAGTGCGACGCACAGAAATGTCGATCATTTCTGAACATCTGAACGCATTTCGTTAAACGCGAAGTCGATGAAAACGGCTTATTTAGGCTATTGGGTTTGGTCGAAATTACAACGCGTCGCACTGCGCATTCGTTTTCAATGAAATTTCTGGTAGAAACTAAGTAATAATATAAAACTTCCACTTCCGTACGTAATAAAATTTACTTTCTCAAAAAAAAATGCGGCGATATTATTTTTATTTTACAACAAAAGACGCACCAGTGAAACATCGCATTTCCGTGTCCCTTTCCTGATCCATTATATCGGTAAAAGAAATAGAAACTCGAAATAATGCCATCTTTGGGGATATTTCGCTCTCGCATACTATATAACCATGCATCACTGCAGGATTTGAAGTCGCACTGACCGTAAATTCCTAAATCTTGCATTTTCATGGTATTTGTTCACAATAAACCTAACTTAACAAAAATGTCAGAGTGCGATGCCGTTTCGCGCGCACGCGATTCACGTTGTCAACCACTCGTGGGTGTTCGATATGGCGTTCAGCATTCTGCAGCCGTTCCTCGCTGAGGTAATGAAAGAGAGGATATATTTTCACGACGATTTAGACAGCCTACACCGGCATATCGAGCCCAAGCATTTACCGAAAAGGTGAGATCCGCTCTAACGTTGGAGAACGCCTCATAATTCTGCATTATATAGATACGGTGGAGTTTACGAGGATCACAAATATATCACGTGGATGGACAGCCTCAAAAACAATGACCATGTTATCGACGAGCTGACGTCGTTGGGTTACCTGGGCTGTCGCGAAGTCATTCAAAAATTGAAAGTCTAGACGATGTAGTTTAAGTGCCTTGTTTGACAATTTTATAACAATAATAGTAATAATAAACCGGCCCTATTTGGCGTATTTTCTAAAAAATGCTGTTATTTTCTATCGTCCCATTTAATATAAACTAAACACAGAGAACAAACACGACAATATATATAGATAACGTCGCCGCAATGGACCGTAAAATCTACAGCAAGAGCTTCGCGTTAGTCTTTGTATAATGTTACTGCATCTCTCGTTCGGTTTTCAAATCTGGTCTGTGGTGTAATAGCCGTAAAAGTAATTTTGAAGCTGTGTAGAGACCCGTTATTAAACAAATAAACCGTCGAAAAGATCTTAGGCGTGGCTACGTAATGGCCCAACGGTATTGTGTTACGGGGACTAGGAAGAACCCACGTTGGGTGTGGGCAACGGGCGAATTTCCGGAGTAAAATTGCCCGCTAGCCCCAAAATATAACAAGTGTTCTGTGGTAACGTTATTTTTTATGACTTTGTTCAAGTTTGTTTTGTTTTAACTGTTATTTTAATAATCTAATAACTAAATTTTTGTATTAATAGGTCATGAACATATTTGATCATATTTTTTATGTAATATAATTTGTCACTCAGGCAGAAACTTTTTTTGTCTCAATAAATATACGTCATCCAAGTACTTTTTACAAATATGGAGCAGCTGAAACAGTGCAAAGGGTTTATATGAGTTTAGTACTGAATCTTAGTTTACGTCAGTTGCATAGATAAATGAGTCAGTTAACGATGCCTTGAAGTCGTAGTAAAATTCTTCCAGGCTTTCATTTTTACAGTACAACATATGAACAATATGCAGAAAAAAAAAATCTGGAAATTTTAAGTAACAAAAAAAGGTAAAAAACTTTGTACACATTAAATTATGCGAAATTTATATAAGAAGAATGTTGATATAAAAATAAAATTAAAATGAAACAAACCGATCCGGCCAAAATTCCTAAAGATTGCGTCACCGCAATGGAATATAAAAGTCACAATTGATGAGGACTCGGAAAAGCGTGTTCTGAGTTATATTTCGCTCAGCTTATTGTGATGATTAGTTTTCTTAATGCGCCCGCTTTGCGTTTGTAGCGTATTTAGCGGTATATGCTATTTTATATTCTATGCTTTTTGACAACGAACTAATTTACTTTCCCGTGGTACTTTAGATAACATCGGCGACTGTCGTTGGCAATGGGCGAGTGCCCAGAGTAACCTTGCCCGCTTTAAGAAATGTGTGGTAGATTCTGTAGTGGGCATTCCACATGGCGGGTTAACCTCCGCTCGCTCCCGACATAATCCTTTGTAGTCGTCCTCAGAAACTTGAAATTGGGTTCCATTGTGTGGAATTAGTGTCCTAAGTATCTAGTAAATGTTTTAAAGTGTGCAACCATTGTCGGCCTTGCTGTTTTTGTCTTGCACGCTGGTTGAAGGTCAAGGTCAAAGACCTTTTTGGCAAGCTGAGAATAATTGTTGGTAATAGCTTGTTTTACATTTTGGTCTATGAGCAAAGGAAAATTCTTCTATTTGCGACGGTAACGGACGAATGGCCATAATAGCTTTGCCTAAGCGTTTGTGAATAGCAAATAAGAAGTGTTCTATGGTAATGTCGTTGAAATTTGTTTACAAGTAGCGTAAAGTTAAGTATCATTTTAAAGGAATTTTAGCACGTTTATTAGAATGCAGTAATGTGGGGCGACTTTTTTAAAACTAGATTTGTAAATGATGATATGTTTGATAATTTTACTATATCCGTATGACCCCCACATACACACCAGTGGCGTGCAAAATAGTTTCGGATAAGTAGGCACAGACGCAATGACGTGCAAAAGTGGTTTACGCGGCGAAAAAAAAACATAGTGCAAAGTGTACCTTTTGCTTTATTTTATAGTCACAGGAGATACATATACATATGTAAATATTTACAAAACTTGCACTAAAAGGTTGCGTTTAAACCTTTACGATTTATAAAACTAAACCTACTTTATTTACACCTTATATTATACGTAATTTATATATTTCAAACAATGTTCCTTTCCACAATTAATATAAAAAAACTTAAGGTATTGGCATTGGGTATGGCGTTTTAAATGCAAAATCTAAGAACCACTAGAAATTTATCGTTCAATTCTAACCACCTACCGCACTTGCGGGTAATACTACTTACACTTTTTACATGAGATTGCTTCGAACCGCTCAAGCCTGTAGAAAACTAATCTCTAACAGCCGGATCCTGCTGCCTGGCGTGGTTATCTATATACTCGTCAGGATCGTCTGCGGTAAAAAACCGACAGTTTGCTTCATTGCTTTGAAATAAAGGTTTTTAAACTCGTAAAGTAGATTTACTCCATTAAAAAAAAAAAATCCCAAATCTTAAAGGTGGACGTTTCAATTTCAATAGTCTTTTTAGCTTTTATAAGTTAAATTGAAACAAATTCCCTAGCTAATACTTGGCTTAAAACTAAAGAATAGCTAAGTATGTAAAGATTAAACTTTCATAATTATTTTATATGTAATAAGGCGTTAAAATTATTAGTTCTTTTTAAAAGAAGTTTTTATTAGTAACCATTGCTAACTAATTGTTATTTGTTGTTGTTCTAATCAATAAAAAGAAATAAATTAATTAAATTGGAGTCACTTTTTAGGCATATTATAAGTATTAGTAGTTGATTAGTTTTAAGTTAATAGCAACTAGTTGAAAGTCGGACCAATAAATAAAAAAAACTAAAAGCGTTATATTGGTAGTTAAAATGTGTAACTCACCATCGACTTCTTCCTCGCGCTGCAGGTCCTTGTACTCCTGGTCCTGCTTCCCAATCTTCCCGTCGGATTGCTTGCCGAACGTGTTCCCTGGCCCTTCGACGCCGTCCTTCGGGTGTTTGTCGTCTGGCCCTTGAGCGGGCGCGTCGTACACCTCGTGAGCGCCATTGTCCTTTTCGCCGTCCTCTGCAAAACCTACGTTGACCTTCATTCGACCTTGACCCAAGTTAAAATGCGACTACCTTTGTCCGCGCCATTCTTTTTCCTCTCTTTCGACAGTTCCGGCTGCTCATTTTGGTTTTCCCTATTTTCCGGTACCATCGGCACCCCCAGGGGAAATTTGAGCTGAGCTTTTTGCACTGTTTCCGGAGTGACCCCGGGCAACATTAGGGGCTTCGCCCCGCTCATGCTGACCGACGATTTCGCGCTCGCTTTCGTCGAACTGCTCGGAGCGCCCAACTTGCTTTTGCCATTTTCCAACACTTTGTGGGGTTCCATTTGAGGTTCGGGCAAAGTGTCAGGGGAACCGCATTTTTTCTTTTAAAAAAATTTAGGTACACGCCTATCGGACACCGACGATTGTGCCGCTCACCTGCAAGTCGTCAAATCGGTCTTGGAGGTCGTGGTTCTTGCTCATCAGCTCGTTGAGCACTTTTTGTTGCTCGTTGCCTGGTTCTTCAAGCTTCAATTTTTGCACTTCCAGCTCCAACTCCACATATTGCGTCTTGAGCGCCTCTTTTGCCCCTTCCACCTTCCGGAGCTCCTCCTTGAGCTCTTTCAGCTTCGACTGCAGGCTGTTTATTTCGTCCAGCTGCTTCTGTTGAATTTTGCCGCTCGCCTCTTTAAAGTCCTCGTGCTCAGTCTAAGTTACATATTATTATTCAATAAAAAGAAAGGTCCATTTCCGATTATTTCAAAAATATACAACTCGTTAGTTATTTTTACACTAATGGCAGAATTTGACAAAAACGAAATCATCACTTAGTTGGCCATACCTTGAGTAAATTGTAATGTTGTTGCAGCGAATTGTACTTCAGCAATGCGTCATTGGAGACCTTCTCGCTTTTCGATTTCTCCTCGTTTATCACGTCCTCGAGGTTTTTCTTGCTGTACTGATGTTCCGCCTTTTCGTTCTTCAAGCTCTTCTCCAGTTTCTGTTTGTAGTCGGATATGACTGAAAAAAATTATAAAATCTCTCGCGCTTCGAATCCACCTAACCGACCTTGCAGTTGCGTCGACAAATTCTCCTGCTGCTGGTGGCATATTTCGTTGGATTTTTTAATCTCGTCCAACTGAGAGAGGGTGTTGTTGTAACACGCTATCAGGCCGGTTATAATTAGTATACCGCACACATACAAGAAGATTTTCGCCTTTGTTCCTCGAATGACCCGCGAGGAGGACATTCTGTTAGATACCGAGATGTCTTCGGGCAGAGAAAGCCCGCAAATTCTTTTTCTTTTCGTCTACGCTAATCATGCGGTCATATTTTTTATATCCACTACCTTTCACTTCGACGTTAATTTGTTGACATTTTGCGATGCATACGAATTGGTTAGTTTGAAAGGTTGGAATGGATTGGTTTACTTCTATGGCCATGTCTACAATAGGTCATTCGGCCAGCTTACGACAAGTGAAACATAATACAAAACTGAAGAATGCCTTCCTAAAAGAAGGGTCTGGACCAATCCATCATCCTCCAGGTTGAATAACATATACAAAAACTGAAAGAATTTCTAAATAAATTGTCACAAAATGACGACCTATTCTTCAAACGTCTCCCGCAATTATCTTATTCGGGATATCCGATCCCATCCGACCTGGTTACCAGCGTGAATATAAGATATTCCGGAAACCGTGTTAACATACACATCATGGAATAACATCACAAATCCGTGTACATCCGCGTGAGACGAACACTATTTCCCAGACTTATAGGCACTGCGCCTTTATCACTTCAGATAACAAATATACACAACAAAATTTTCTTTAAACGACATTAATTTCAACCGATTTCTACAGAGTTTTGGAACCGGACAGGAGTAATGTCCGCCATGTGCAATGGTTCCATCCAAAGTCTCAGTTTGAAAGGTTAAGATCTACAAGCACAATGATACGTTTCACAATTGCTATTGGGCACAACTGCTAGGATCATTTGCCCTTTGCCGACTTCCGTCAAGGATTTTCACTTTTGGTCATAGACCAACACGTACAAATAAGAAGTATAACCAATATTTGCTAAGCTAGCAAAAAACAATTTTGACAGATACTAAAAAAACCGGCAGCCCCCCGCTTCTACCGAGGACCATCCGGCCTTCATACTGCCGCGAACGGTTATAACAGCGGGGCCGGCCGAACTTAAACACTTAAAAACGAACACCAAACACTGCCGAAACAGACGTATACAACGGATTCTGCTAGGAGAGAACAGAGGTTAAACCGCGGCGTGCATTGCTCCACCACAGAATCAATTCAATTCAATTGCGTTTCACAAAAAAATGTTGGGCTCGAATGCTAGGATCATTCGCCCATTGCCGACTTCCGTCGAGGATTTTCGCTTCTGGTCAATGACCACCACGTACAAAGAAGAAAAATAACCAATAATTTGCTCAGCTAGCAAAAAACGATTCTGACCGATACCAAAAAAAAGCGGCTTCCCCCCGCTTCCACCCTCCGGGCCCATCCGGCCTCCATACCGGCGTGAACAGGGAAAAACAGTCCAGACAGTGGTAACCGATATCAAACTTTTGAGGACGAATACAAGGGATTCTGTCGGGAGCGAACGGAGGTTAAACCGCCGCGTGCAATGCTCCACCACAGAATCCCACCACAGAATCAGGTTAAGATCTCGGAATGTCTCTTCTTTTTTGGATATGAGCAACGATAGGTAGTACTGGGTTGACGAAGGCAACATTATAAAAGAATTGGTATCTTATATTCATTAAAATAACAAGCATTCCAAATAGATTTGTGAAATTTTTCTTTTTTTTCAAATACCAGTTTACTTTCTTTGTTAGTCCATTGATCAGGCGAACTACCGTCGTGCCAATGGCTCAGTTGTCAGTAAGCATCGTTTTGAGCGTCATCTCTCGGGCGACAGCTGACATAACACATCGCAGAAATGTAAATATAGAGCTATGTTGTTCGTGGTCTCGCCGCCGCTCACCAGATGTGGCAACCAGCACGTACCTTTTTGAACTTTGCATTTATCGGTTGTATTTACAAATTAGTTATACTCTTTGTTCGCTTCCAAATAATGAGCGTTGCGCTCTGTAAAATGTATAAATCGCCGTATGGCGGTGCAGGGAATTCGAAGGCGCGAACCTTCGGGAAAAGACGAATCTGTCATCCGGCGGAACAGAGAGAAACGGACATTTTTAATTATCGAGTTGTTACTTGAGCTTTCGGGACGGGAAGTAGCGCCCACGGTATCATTCATCATTCCGTTCGCAGATCATTTATTAAATTAGTCCTACGCCGGCGATAGTCGGGCATACTGTGACAGCCAGCCAATTAGGTCACTTTTGATGCATCGCAGTCCGGATTTTAAGGCCCTCCATAGACGCTGATTGATAAGCCAGAGTTGAATTCCGTTGCGATCGTAGTCCTTTCGACGGTTGTTCGCGTTACTTATTATAGCATCGATCGCGAAAGTTCAAAATAATGAGGCAACTAACTCTTAATAATGTAGGAATTTATGAGCTTAACTTATATTTTTATAACATTCCACGGAACATTTATTTATAATCTCTGCCATGGAACTAATTCTTCGGTTTTTTATTTATTGTCGCCACAGCGGGACATCTAATCATGGGTTCGGGTAGAACATTAAAACTGCGTTATTATCAGTTTTAATTTATCTGCTTTTAGAATTTCGATCTACTTGGTTGCACATTGCGTTTTATTTAAAAAAAGGAATCCAAGTATGTCATGTCATGTCATGTCATTAGAAAATACCTCAGATCCAGGCTGTCGGTTCCATCAAACTTTGTCGAAATCAATAACTTGATTTTGACCGAAGAAAATATGAAAAATAAAGGACCACGAATTGAAAATGGTAAGTTGCAGGATCCTACCATGAAATTTTGTCAGAAATTTGTGACAGAAACCATTTTCCTCTCGGGCAGCGCATTTTTCAAACGAAAAATTTGTGAGCCGCCCTGTATATCCGAGGTTTTTGAGATCATGCAAGTGAAAATGGCGGTATTTGTAGCGTTTTTACCTGTCGTTTAGCTTCAGCCTACATACCCATATATAGTTCGATTGTTAGCTACTCTTGCCTTGTTCAAACGCGGCATTCTTATACGGGAAAAGCGTAAACTAAGCCGAGAGTAAACAGGTGAAATTATTTATGAGCGAGTTTAAAAAAAAAGAGAGGAGACGATTACATCGTTACTTTTTGGGAAAGGAATTCTATCTAACGTAGGGCAAAGTTTTTAACCTTTTGAAAGTTTTTTTTTTGTACGCATAGGTTCTCCCTTTGATGATAAATTTGAAGATACCGTCTTGATTAAATTCACAGAAAAAATGATTAATCTTTAAACAACCCCCCAGGCTGCCCTGTCAAGATACTTTTGTAAAGTATAAAATATTAACAGTGCCTTGTAATAAAGACTCCTATAAAAAACACACCGTATAGACGATAGTGATCAGGATATTGCCTTTATCACAGCAAAGTTGTTCCTATCTTGGATGAACTGAAAATGAAGCTGGAAGAAGATGAAACCAACATAAATATAAACCGTGCCACACTTTATAGAGTTGTTTGTAACATGGGATTTAAGTACCGAAAAATAGAAAAAAAGGCAAGCAGTAATGGAATCACACATATTACGCACTTGGAGATTTAATTACCTTCATAATAATAGATAATAGATCCATAATTAACTTTGATGAAGCATGGTTCGATACAGCACTAGATTTAGACATTTTGAATAAAAATGTAATGTAATGTTTTTTCTTGGTGTAATTTAATAAGATTATACTCACCTAAATAAACAAAAAAATTATATTATTACCAAAATCGTTGAGAGACCGTCCCTAATGTTCTGTCCTTTAATACCTACCGGGCCCGGCAGGTAACTTGCATAATTGCTTGTAAATGCCAGCACGATAAAGATTGAGACAGACTATACCTCCAAGGAAGATTGTCTAGTATTTTAAAGATTTCATCAATATGTTTGTACTGTTGCTAGGAAGGTATGGGAAAAATTTGAGTCTATTGTATTGTTTATACACATAATTTTGTGTATCTTTATAATATTTTAAAATGTACTTTTTCTCCTGACGAAACATCCATTGCAGGATTTGAGAATAAAATTATTTATTCAATTGAAAAACATTGTTTTGTATAACGTAGTATAACGAAACATAACCTAAAAATATCACCGTCCCCTACAATTTTTCGCAGCGACACCGCGTATATTAACCTCCTCTACCTTGAGATTTCAAGAGGTGCATCTTCGCTTTGCAAAAGTACTCTCGACGAAGGTGAAAACTTAGACACGCGCGTCAGGTGCCATCTGCTACGACTAACCGCCATGATTGTTGTATAACAATCGCACTTTCACGCTCGGTCGCCTGATGGCGTCCGATCGCCGCCATGTCGCTTTCTTTTATTTTAATCGGAGCCTTAGATTTATCTGCGTTCGAGTGTCGAAACTACCCTAGAGGTCAACTTCAAACCCAATTAGTTTGCTAGTGGCGAAAAAGTAAAATATTTTGTATCAGCTTATTGCATAAACATGCAAAAATGTTTATGCAGGGAATACCGAATTTGTAATGGATGTATAGAAACAAAGGAGTCTGCGAATAAAAAAAAACTCTATGACTTGGATTTTATTAAACTGGTTGTATGAAAGGGGTGCGATAAATCAGACTTGAAATGCATATCCGCCAATTTGCTGATGTCCAACCACCTTGACAACAGAATTATTAATTCTTAATAGACACGGCCTGCTACAATAAGAAACAATTATAAAGATTTCAAAAATACACCTCAGAGTTTACGTACTTCTATTTTTTGAAGTGTTTTAGCAAAACAGATAGACAATTACTCAAGTAAGAAATAATGATAATAATTGTGTACATTTCCTGTGTAATTGATTATTGGCCCAGAGATAGATAGTTTTATTTGACTGAAATACAATTCATAGTGTATGTTTACAGCACGTCTAAGAACAATAGTACAATACAATATATATATATATATATATATATATATATATATATATATATATATATATATATATATATATATATATATATATATATATATATATATATATATATATATATATATATATATATATATATATATATATATTCTCCAAATTCTCTTGGGTATTCGGTCTCTCAAAAAAAATTTCGATCTTTTTAAAATATTCTTATTTTGAATAAGTGACATATATAACAATTAATGACATTTGACATTGCGTTAATATATTACGTATTTAAAATAAACATAATTTGTCAGCAAATATTTTCTGCGGATTGGAATGGCATGCAAAGCGGATACGGATGTTTTTTATTAGCAAATATATTGGATAATTTAATTTTGTTAGTTTAAAATTGAATGATATGAGGCCTCTAGAATCGGTTTTGTAATTAATTGATTACTTAACTTTCGTAAAGTTATCTTTTTTTGGTGTTGAGTTCTCTTCTTTTTGAAAATTAAATGTGTGTTTGGTGTTGTCACAATGGGTATGAAGAGCTGTTTTATTTCTTTTTGTCATACTTATGTCAGTTGATATACACTGTCGCAATGAGAGATTCCATATACTATATTACTTCTTTTCTCAACTGAAATTTTTGCTTTGAGGATTTTGATGTTGGTTTTTCTTTAGGTTATTATAAAATTTGTTGGTACGTTTACTAAATATATTATTAAGTTTTTGGGATAATTAATTTCTAGAAGTGCGCGTTTTGCTTTTTCAATTCCGTCTGGTCTATATTCTGGATCGGATAATATTATTACTCTGCCTGCGAGACCTATTATGACTCATTTTTTTGAGCTAGGGGATGATTAGATTTAAAATTTAGATAAGTAATGATTTTGTTTGCTTAGTATACAAAGTTGTTCTTATTTCATTTTGTATGTGATGTAGGGATAAATTCAAAAAATTTATAGTATTTTTAGTAAAAATCTGTTTTTCTTTTTGGAACTGCAGTTATGATGTCGTAGTCATATCGATAAAAAAAAAGGTAAATTGAATTCAATATTTTTAAGAATATTTTCTTCTAGATACTCCCTAACAAGTTGTGCTACTATGCTTAAAATTGACATACCCATTGAACAACCTTCGACTTGTGTATAGAACATATTTTTGTATTGAAAAAATGTGGATTTGAGAGTAAAAATTCATCTATAGGAATATCTGTGTGTAGTTTAATTTTATCCCATTTTGTTTTAATAACTTGTGTGATAAGTTCGAAGGGTATGTTGGTATACTATGGCACACATCAATCGAAACTGGAACATAGTCATCTGGTATTTTCAAATTTTTAATTTTTTATTTAAAGTCTATCGAGACTTTGATGTCAAATTTATTTTGATTTCCTATGTTTTTTAAAATATTTTTTAAATATTTAGACAATTTTTCTGTTAGTGATTGTATACAGGATACGCTAGGTCTTAATGGGATGTTGGGTTTGTGCAGTTTGGGTACATTCGTGTTGGCAAAGCATTATTACTTTTCAATTCTTTTGCAGTATGTGTTGAATTAAGAAATTGATTTTCCCAATTTCACAATGCAATCGTTAAAAACATCATAGCATATAGCTTTGAAGTATGCCCTCTGAAAGAAAACATTAGTCCACAGAATACCAAACGATACGATAAGACGCAGCATGGAAATAAAACACGATATTATCGATGAAATTAGAACTCGGCAGCTGATATGGTATCGACACGTACAGAGAATGCCACAACATCGAATCCCAAAAAAAAATTAGATTGGAACCCTCAAGGAAGAAGGAAACGAGGCTGCCCACGCAAGAGCTGGAGAGAGGGATAGATTGGAATGGAGATTAGGAATCGGAATACGTCGAATGTTGTCACCCCATGTATTTATTTATGTAATTATTATTAATTTCATCATTATTATTAACTTTTATTATTATTATTATTAAATGGTTTTAATTGTTGACTTTACCCGCTGGAAGGAGAAGAAATGAAGCGATATAGTGAAAGTCATCTGACCCCTCGTTCGATTGAATATTCCTCCGATTTCGAACGACCGGATGATCTTAACCTTGAGGTAGGGGCCGAACTTGCCCTGATGTTATAAAGCCAAGTACGGGGATCCGCTTTTCGTAGTTCAAGGAAAGTGTTTTGTGACACGATGCGTTCGTACCAGGTGGGTCAAGGCGTGACGGCTTCCGCATCTTTTTCTCGCGATGAAACGGCCATTTTCTGAAGTCGCTTTTTGGGTTTCATTTTCAGTTTTTGTTCGGATGGTTCGCAATGGTATCAGCTACTCCTTATCAGCCCGATCTGCACGGCTACGCCCCTGGATATGACGTGAGTGTGAAAATTTGCGAAAACTGAAAAAAGTATAGCGAAAAAGTAAGGTTAACTTCTAGCATTCTTTTTTTACGCTGCCGGAATTATACCGGGTGCTTCGCAATTCCGTCCAAAGATTTTAAGGGCGCACTTACCAGGCAAGAATTCTTTTATGTATTATTTTTTGTTTTTTATCGATGCTTTCTTGGTCTCTACCTACTGGCGTCTTCGAAATAATTGTTTAAAAAATAATTACCATTAATTACTTTTAATTAAATGTTTGCAAATAACGCGTTCTGTAGATAATAAAAAGACAAAAATTTCATTTTGACTTTTGTCAAAATTAAGTGCTAATTTGATATATGTTCTTAAAAAAAACTTATATGCTGTCAAAAATAACAATATATTACCCATTTAAACGAAACCTTGGTTACACAAAATAGGAATACTTTGTTAATTGATTTATTTGTGTTTGTTGTTTATTTCTTGAAAAATAATTGTATTTCAATGTTTTTCTCACTTAAAATTGCATTAAGCTTTATTTTTCATCTGTTCCCGAGCAATGTGTTTTCAAATTGTTTTTAATTTTCTATTTCAGTAAAAAAAATGACACACATACGAAATTCATTTCTCAGTGCGTCAAAATTTAAAAAAAAACAAATCAAAAATTTATCATTTGTATTTCTGAATTTTCTACTATTTGCATTATTCTTTTTCTTTATTTTTATAATAACAATATCCTCTTGAATTGCCAAACTGAGCAAAACTAACTATCCTAGGAGCGACATAATCTTTTTAGTTCACATAGGCTATTTTTTACCATTCTTTCTTCATATAATATTTTGAACTACTTTTATATCCTTCCATTTCTATCTATACTTGCCTAAGGTGACAGCATATATGAAAATCGTTTTAGATTTAGGTATGTATGTATGTATATGGGTATATTAATTGTTGAAAGTTGAAGAATTTCAAAGCGAATTCAAATTCATAAGTTTACAAACCAATGAGGTAATGAAATTTATTTCTCGACGAAATATAGATTATAAGTTTTCCTAATTGTAACTGTATTATTTTTTACAATTTTTGCAAAATTCAAGAAAAAAATATTTATAGGCTATATCATTGTTTCTCATTCTTTCTTCATATACTTTTGCGAAGCACTCATTGCACTCGTATTGGATGATTTTTAGAATAAAAGAGAACTACATTTCATGACCTTTATTTAAACAGCTTTATGAGCTTTATACATAAGCCCGCGAGTCCGGCATTAAGACCGTAGAATAGCAACACTTATTACATACAAAAATATAATATATATACTAATATCTTACATCAATCTAAGGTGACATAACCTATACAAAACGGGTTTTCATGTAAAAAATAAAATAAACACAAGGAATTATCAATTATACTTCTATCTGTTTCCTACTGCCAATCGTAATATGTTTTGTCTTTTCTTCTTTTACCCTTTCAACATGCATTTGAATTTCTAAATTAACCAACCTAAGGTGACATAACCTATAAAAAACGCGTTTTCATTCAAAAATTAAAAGAAAAACAAAAAATTATCAATTACACTTCTTCTTTTACTTGTTCAACAGCAACCGGCTTTCGAATTTCTCAACTAACCAAAACCAAAAATGCGTTTTTACTCAAAAATGTAATAAACAAAAATGCTTCCGTAGAGACCGTCAGATTACAGCTTCAGCTACGGCGTAAAAGACCCGACCACCGGTGACGTCAAGCACCAATGGGAGAAGAGCGAAAACGGACACGTCAAAGGCCAGTACTCCCTGCTGGAGGCTGACGGTTCCGTCAGGACGGTAGACTATACGGCCGACTCCAAAAGCGGCTTCAACGCCATAGTGAAACACTCGGGTCATTTCCGACACCCTACACCCTACTCTGGTAAATCTGCTTCGAGCCACAGCCACCTCGTCAAAGAAGCTCAACGAGAAGAGCCTGATATCGAGTACAAGTATCTCGGAGAACACCAAGAGTACCAACTGCAAGACCCCGAAGTGTTGAAGAACCACGCTACTGAGTTTATAGCTCAGGAGGAGGTCGCTCAGGAGTCTCAGAGGTCGACGGTCAAGTCTCCGAACGCGTGGACCAAAGGAAGCTACGAGAGCGCCCATCAGCAGCTTCCGGTGGATCTCACGTTCCTCAAGAAGGAAATCGTGCCCGTGGATGTGAGCCTAGTGAAGCCTATCGAGATAAACCTCAATAGAGGAGAGTCGAGAGACGTCCACAAACCCTACGACGAATTGTCAGAAGCTGAGCTCAGGAAATACCTGTCCAATTACTATGCCGATGGAGGAGCTGACGGGTTGCTGACAAAGCCGATAATGGAGAAAGGTTTCAAGCCTTTGAAGGCTGAGGGTGGAGGGGAGAGGGTGATCCCTCAGACGTACGTGTCGAATAAGAAGCCGAACACGACACCAGGGCTTGGGCAGTACTCGAGCCTGAGGAAATCACCCAACAGCTACGGGCGTCCAAGTAAGCACCAGAATCGCAGGCTGATGGGCAGGAACCTGAAGGTGTACCACGGCAGAAACAACGACAGCTACACTTACGCCAAACAGTACAAGTTTGGGTGAAGAACCACGTGAAAATCAGACGTTAGTTTTACTCACCCTAATTTAATTATTTAAGAGTGTTTTAGTGTAAATAAATGTCGATTTGTTGTTATTGCGACTTCGTTCTTTCACTCGCGTGCGTTGTGCAACCTCCCAAAGCTCAGGGTCGAAATTTAAAAAAACAAAAAATACAAGTGATTTTGGGTAGTGCGACAGATTTATTCGACTGCCATTTATCTAATCTCTCATTTACCTCGTTGGATATTATTTAAGATTTGAAAACACAAAGTTATCATTTGACAAAATGGAATGTGAGTCAAAACTGGCTTGTGGCGTGATGTAAATAGACACATATCACTTTTATTTGCTTTTACAATTGCATTGCCTTGCAGTTAAGCTGAGGACTCATGATTTAAGATTCTCAGATTTGAATATACTTGAAATAATGTCGACGGTTTCAGAAATGGAACTTTAGTCATGAAAGGTAACTTTTTCACTGTTTCTGATAGAGATGAAGCAGATTTAAGGTTGCGTTCTTGTTGCCTTCTTACGACATTAGAGCTATTAACCTTTCCATAACAAAATAGTCTTCACACCACAACCTTGTAAATGACTCCGAAAGAAAGCCTGCACTTGCCACTGTTGTCCTTTCTTACATTCAAAACATCACTGACCACATATCAGAAGTTCTTAACGTGATATATCAGGAGTTTACAACGTCCATGGACATGAAGCAAAGAATATCTTTCCCGCCTAGGTGTTGCAAAACTTGAAGATTAATTACGTGCTGCTGCGAAAACTAGAAAATGTCAATAGTATATTATGGAACAAGTGCGGTAAACGGCATTTGACTCGCGAGTTTAGCGAGTACTAATAAACGAGTGAGATAAAGAGTTTACCAAACGTGTTGCATACTATACTTTATCTACGACCGTCGCGAAAAAATTGCAATTTAATAAAATAAAAATAATAACAGATTATCGGAATGCTAAATTTCGTACTATTCAAACAAAATATTTAGAGTCATGTGGGGCAAGTGTGCGCAGGCTTATTATTTATAAAACCGTTGACAGTAGAGTAGGGGAATCAACTGCCTTCAGTAGTCACTACGACGTTGGACAAAAGACTAGAGTCTTGTCTGGCAAAGTTACGTAGTTTTAGTAATATTGGTAAGTAAAAATTTTGGTTATTATTCTTACGATTTTTTCCAATTTAGAATTCAAATACTTTTATATTTATGTAGCGGTAATTAGTATTAATTATGTCCAATTATGCTCGTTTATATATCTAATTTTATCAGCTATACATCAAAACTTGGTAGAGTGACGCAAGAATGTGTAATTTTAAACTAAATCTGTAAAGGCGATTAGGGTTAAGTGTACGCATACGGTTGTGGGGTAAGAGTACGCATATTTTAATGCGTACTTTTACCCCGATAGTGAGTTCTTTGTGTATTGACACTCGTTGTTATTTGTTTCAGGTTATACTTATATATTTCTTAAAAAAAAACTACAATGCCTCGAAATTACAAGCGGAAGGCTCCACACAGGTCCGTTGTTACCCGTGATCAATTTGATGCTGCTAAGCGATTGATTGCCGAAGGTTTAAGTAAAAGAAAAGCAGCTGAACAGGTTGGAATGAAAGAGAGTACTCTCAGGAAGCGATTAAAATCTGATTCAACTGCTCTAAAATTAGGAAGATTTACTTCAACTTTCACGAGTGAGCAAGAAAATGAAATATATAATTATTTAAAAAGATGTGATGATCTCTATTATGGTCTTAATATGACAACTCTAAGAACATTGATCTACGAGTATGCTGAAATAAATCATATTCCTCATCGGTTTAATCAAAAGTCGAAAATGGCTGGACGTGATTGGGTGTATGGATTTTTAAAAAAGCACCCTGACTTGAATTTACGACAACCCACGTCAACTAGCATAGCTAAAGCAAATAAAACTGAAAATTCTAAAAAAAAAAAAACAAAGAAGAATACTACTACCAAAGATAAGGCTGTTAAAGTTAAGGCTAGTCAAGAAAATATTAATGATTTTAAGGAAAATGATGATTACTGTGCATTGTGTGGTGAAAAATACGTTGATCCACCTACAGAGGATTGGATTAAATGTAGCTTATGTCATAGCTGGTGGCATGAACAGTGCACTCATTATGAAACTGGTGCTTTCATATGTGATATATGTTCTAATAATTAAGATTTTATCATATTCGTTAAAAACGATCTCATTTGAATTTATCTCTATTCAAAACTGTTAACTACTCTAAGCCTTATTCTCGATAAAAATCAAGTTAAACAGTATTTGTCAAAAATTATATATTTAATATATAAATATAAAAAATGAAGTAAAAAATGATAAGTATTCATAAAAAATAATATTTATAACATTAAATATGGTGTAACTATATGTAACAAGTTATGGTTTAAATTATTACAAATGCGCACACTTACCCGCAGTGCTGCGCACGTTTACCCCAATATTGGGGTAAGTCTGCGCATTCTGACTAATATTTATTTTATTTTATTTCTTTAATTACAATTAAGTAAATTGAATTTCATGTTACGTAATTGTTAAATCAATAAATCCTTTAAATAAATACTTCTATTTCAATTTATTTTGTACAATTATTACAATTTTATGACCATAGAAAAAAAGAACGCGCACTCTTGCCCCACATGACTCTACTAGTTGCCATTAAGTTTATCTTTCCGATCTGTCCCGCTATTGTTGTCTCTTTTTAACTGTGTACGTTAGACAGAGAAAGACGTATTATCGGATATGCCACATAAACAAAGGAATAAACACAATTTTAAAAAGTTATAATTTAATTTAAATTTTGCAATTGGTCATTAAGTAGTTTATTTAAAAAAAAATTATCCAAGGATAGAGCTTTTAACAGGATTAAATTTTTAAGGTCGTTTAAGCAAGAAAAAACAGGTTCTAACCTTCAATTTTATTTTGTTTGTACTGGTGAGACATGGATATTTGAAAATCGCACAATTGATCTTGGCAAGACATTAATATAAAAACTGTAAAAACCACTAAAGCTCAGGGGTATGTAAAATTTCTCTGGGAAAATTATAAATGTCACTCACCGACTATAACATTTTCCTGCATATTAATTGTTGGGTTCATTTTTGCAAAACAACACGAATACATTCACTGACATGACTGACAAACGTCAAAATTCAAGCCGTGAGCTAAAATATCCGAAAACATCCGATCGCTCCCAACTCGGTGGCTCGGATTCGTGGGAAACGAAACTGACGTGGTAAAGCGACGCTTCCCGCACGCTAAATCGATGCGTAACTAGGTATTTTACAGACGGGAGTAGAAAAATAATTTTACTGGCATAGTCTTACGTGCCTTACCAGCTCTTGAAGCGTTTCAAGACCTTACAACAACTGAAAATCATAAAAACTGTTATAAAACGCAAGGTTTCTTATAAACCCATCTATAAATGCTCGCTACTTTATGACCGATCCTCAAACATGGTTTGCCGTGTGACCCCAAGCGGGGTTAAACAGAAAAACGATAAAAATAACGGCCGTTACGCCTGAACGGGCCATTCGTAACGTGATCATTACGCATTAGGCGTACGTCAAGGTGTATTGGGGTTACAACATTTGAAAACAATTAGGCCGGCAAAGCGCGATTGCGCAGATATAATAAACGAGCCGCGGCGGCGAAAGTCAAGCGGATGCGTGTCTGAATTGTATAACGGCCACACCCGAGTCCACGTACTTTTGGACGCAGAGATTTATAACGTTTAAAGCGTTTTTCCACCCTAACGCTGGCCAGCTCTACCAGCCTCACTGCGAAGAATTACAGACTCACCCAAATGGTCCGACAAACAAACGTGTTAGGGTTAGATATTCCGAAATAGTAGTGTTTCATTTCGATGAAACTAACCAAGGTATTAAGGCGCCTTTAGAAGGTGTGATAAGCTTTCAGTTGTGCCATGGTTGTTTTTGAAACGATGAAAAATGTATGTCACTCATGACATTTTCGCAAGAAATACTTGTTTGATTTTGTTGGATTATAGATCTTTGATACCTTAAATCACAATCTTCTGAATTCAAAGTTAAAGTACTTCAGTTCAGTACAATTTTAAGGGGATTGCTTCAGGGCAGTATTTTAGTACCTTTATTCTAGAATGTCCAAAGTCCGTGGTCCGATATTAAATGAGTCCAAGAAGGAGGTTGTTCTTTTTGATAATAAATAAAACTTAGCAGTCCTTTTTGCTTTTTGATTCTAACTACAGGACTCCTGAAAGTAAAGATTATTTATCTACTGAGATTTGACTCAAATTGTGTGATGCAGACGTTGCATACTTCAAGTCCAATACAGCTTAGAAAAATTACGAAATGCCTTACTGAGATACAACTATGATTTGCGTAAATTTGATCATTAAATGCTGGCACTCAAGGATATACAGTGGTTAAATCTGTTTGAAAGGTATTTGGTACATCTGTCTACATTATTGTATAAAATTGCTAGGTACGTAAACCCTCCATATCTCTATGGTGGATTGGTCATCGTAACCAGGCTATCCCATGGTTTAGGAGCCTATTTAAAAATATACATATCATTATGTTGTAGATTATTTTGCTTTTTGGTTAATAAATGATAATAATAACAATTGTAAAACAAATGTAATAAGGAAGTGAATAGGGAATTTGGAAGGAAGTTATTATCACTGAATATAAGCAAATACTGGCGGTTTCAAGGTTCGATGGCCAACCACAGATTTCTCCCCGTAAATTTAAACGACCTTGAAACTGACTTAGTTGCGGCTCAGCGACCACGCGTTTCAAGCAAGGACGTGTACAGGGTTGTCAACTTAAGGAAAAAAGTTAAATTCAAAAAGTGTTTGATCTTAAGCACATATCTCATTTATACTATTTCTATGTGTACAGAGTGCTAGGTTCATATGAAATTTTGAGTAGTTTTGGAAATAATTTTATCATTTTTTTGCGGAAAACAGGTCTTTGGATAAATTTGTTTTTTTTTTTTCATTTGAAAAGTGAAATTGGGGATTTTTATTGTGGATACGTGGTAGCGGTTAATATTTGATGCTTTAAGCTGTCCAT